CACTCGATCAACAGTTAAATTGTAAACAAATGTATTATTTAGCTTTATCTTAATCTGCATGGAACTTTATATCAACACTTATATCAAAGGTTGTCATGTCTTAATTTTAATATTAAACATTTTGCAAAGAATTTTAATATATAATATTGATATCCTGCAATTCGTATATGTGACTATTTGTTGCACACTTTTTAATCATCATCGACATTTTCTATGTCATTTTTCGGTGCCGGCCGGGGCTATTTTTTTTTAATACTCTTGTAAATTAATCACTATATAACATGATTTTATAATAAAGAAACAACATACTGATTGTTTCGAGTAATATTTCTTTTCTATTTGATATTGCGAATTGTATAGTTTTATTTAAGAATACAAGTATCAAACATTTCTAATCTTGCCACGTGGTCAAAGACCTAAAAGCACTATCTAGCGGCCGTCACGTGTATTTGAGTCCACAGTTACGTAATTCAGGTATATGAGGTTCTCATACAACTGGCAAAATCAATGAACGTTTGGTGGGGTAAAGAAAGATAGAGGGGAGACTGGAAATTTCGAGAAAATCCAAGCGGTTTGCTGAGCTTCGCTACAAGGGTTATACAACGTGCTCGATCGTGCTTGCCGGCTGTATTCTTTCAAGGTGGAACAACTTTGATAACGTCTTATATTAAGAATGGTAAGTCTGAATAACTTGTAACGACTTAAACACTCTAAACACTTGCTCATATTATATTACGCGTTAGCAAGTTACATTTATTTATACACCTCTCAAGATAACCTTCAAAATAATAATTTCAATAGATAAACTTTATATAGAACAAATTGTATAACACGATCAGCAAATTTAATGAATGAAACAGACACAAAATTTTAATATGTTACTGTTTTGTTTCACTCGACAACTCAAAAAAGTGCCAATTTTTATGTACTTCGTCGCATGGCCGGCATAGTGTTTTTTTATGTTAACCAAAAGAAAACAAATGATCGTGAAACTATCTGAAACAAACGAATATCCATACAAATCAATTTTCTCATTTATTTGTCTAATTCGCGGTGATTTCCGTTATAACTGTTAAAAGCTAATTTTGAGGAGGTTGTATCATATCATATTATGAATTTATATTTGAGTATTAGTTTATCATTTGCATGTTTGTAATATCTATGTAAAGGTTTCCTGAAAGTTTGGTATAAAAAAAAACTGTTTCTAAAAATTGCATCATGCATTGTCTTGAAGTAATTATTTAATTATCTTTGAAATGTTATTTTTAATAGGGAAATCTATAGAGAATCTATAAAATATACTTTTTAATTTATCTCTTTCAGGCGGCAACTAGTGCTATTAAAAGGCTTGTACCCCTCTTTGATAGAGTTCTAATACAAAGAGCTGAAGCTGTCACTAAAACAAAAGGTGGTATTGTTTTACCCGAGAAAGCTCAGGCAAAAGTTTTACAAGGTACAGTAGTGGCAATAGGACCTGGACAACGAAACGAGGTACACGAAAATATTTGATTTCCAAATGAATAAATGTTTAATATCGATTAACTGATAATAGTAATTATTTCGAGTTTTATTTCAGAATGGTCAACACATTCCTTTAAGTATCAAAGTCGGCGATGTGGTTTTATTACCAGAATATGGAGGAACTAAAGTAGAACTTGAAGATAATAAAGAATTCCATTTATTCCGTGAGTCAGATATATTGGCAAAGTTAGAAGTTTAAGTTTTTATTAGTTGTAATGTTAAAATTTTTCAAATACTGTACACTGTGCTTTGGAAAATTTAAGAGTAATAAAGCAGCAACATACATATATACGTATATACTAGTTAATCTCATATGTAGTACACTGTTCATTACTACACCATAAATTTACATATTCTTTGAAAGGTCTGATGTTAATATAAGTATCATAACGTCATACATTCTAAAAATATAAATTTATTCATTATGTTTATGTAATTATCATTTCGTATATTTTGGTTTATTAAATTTTCACATGATCTTAATAATTTGTACCATTAAGGAAGTACAGAATAAATCTTGTTAATGTTGTAAGAGCAAAGAATAATAATCTATATTTACATTCATGTTTTATATGTAAGAGAAACTTGTATGTTAGTAGCAAATAAACTGGTTTTATAATTTTCAATATAAACTCTAATTATTTTATGATTTTTATTTTAATTTAATACTTTTCTTTACACTAGCTTTAATACCCGATATTTCTCCCGCGTAACGAGTGATTTCCTTTCTCACTTCTCTCACCTAGAACATAAAACATTGTTGTTTCTTTGAGGCATTCTGAAGAAAAAAGGTATGTTAGATATACACGAATACTTACCGCTCCCTTCCTGCGAATTTTGGCTTTACGATACTTATTCCTATGTTTTACTCTAGGATTGCGTTGGTCCTTCCTGCGATGTGGCGTTAAACCTTTATTTTTTGCTATTTGATACGTAATTCCCCTCTTTCCTTCACTTTCCATCAATAAACCATCCATGTTAGTACCTTCTATCTCTTTTTCGTCCTCAATAGACGCATTATTTTCTGTATCTTCTACTTTATTTATAGACACGTTATCGTCCGAATGTTCTTCTTCATCAAGAAATTCTTTACTTTCCATTTCATATTCAGATTCTAACAAACGTTTATTTCTAACTTCTACTTTCGTCGGTTTTTTTAAATGATCTAATTTTTCTTTAAAATGATTAGATATTTTCTTTTTATCTATGCTTATTTTCGAACCATCAGACACATTATATAATGGTTTTCCTTGTTCTTTAGCTTTGAGTATTTCTTTGATTTCTTGAATTAGATTTTCTTGTCCTGACTCTAACTGATTCAGCAATTGACTATACTGTGCTAAACGTTTTATAACAGGATGAGAAGTCACAGGTAGTCTTTTTGCTTTTAACATCAAATAAAATGATATATTAATGCAATAGTTCAATAAAACATCATATTTTGTCTTTACAAAGGATACTGCAGGACAATTATTAAGTATATTGGATTTAGCTAACTTCAGAAATGGTGCTAATACATCTCTTACCTCTGTCATGCGATCTAAATCATAAATAATAAATAGAATGTATACCAAGAATATATTAAATTTGCAAAGAATTATATATATATACGATTATAATCAAATATGCAATACCTTTATAGTCATTTACAAGTGCTATAAATTCAGGACTTTCTTTTTCCATTATTGCTTGTTTTTGTCTTTTACTAAGTTTACTAAGATCAGTCTTTACAAATTGCTCTGCATTTTCTTGAATTTCTTCGTTTTTAGCCTTTGTCGTTTGTATAAAATCTAATCCAAAATCAGCATCATCTAACTGTTCTGCCAATCTTTTTTGAATGTTCTTAGCTTCTTCTTCTTCCATTTCAGCATCGGCTAAATCTTTTTGACTGGTCGTGGCATAATCAGGATCTACATAATCTGTAGAGTAATAAGCTTTCTTTTTTTTACCCCAAGCTTTTTCATTTGGTAAGTCAAAATCTTCTTGTAACCCTTCAATATCGGATACCATTGAATCTGCTTCTTCCTCATCTTCCGTATCATCTTGATCTTTCTCATTTTTATTTTGCAATCCATAAACTTCGTAATCACTATCATAGTCTTCAGAAGGGCGATTATTTCGAACCTTCTGAAGTAATTTTCGTTCATTTTCTGAATATTCATCTTCAGAATCTGTGACTTCGTTCATGTTTATATCCTCTAAATTATCCATTTCTTCATTCATTTCGATTGTTTTTGTTCTATTAAAACATTGTGAAAGTAAAAGCATGGAATACAATAATGTTACTGTGCAATTAAAATTTGCAATCTTTATCAATATATAACTTAAACATATAATAGCTTAAAATCATAAGTAATTTATGTATTATATCAAACAATTATCTTACCTTTTTCTACTTTTCATTTTGAAATTTATCTTTAAAGCATTAAAATTAACACGCGAGAACTTGAATTTACCTAACCTCACAGATCCATCAAATACACATACATAATTTGTACGCGCATACTCCGCGTGTATTTCGCTAGGGATTTTGTTTATGATTTTGATCGGTTAAGTGTAACATATTGATCAATAGCAAATTAATATCGAAAATGAGACGAGAAAAGAAGAAAGCTGACCAATGAGACCCACATTCCTTTCAGGGCTCTTCTCGTAAATAACAGTATAGAATTGAAATTATAAATTTTGTATTTTTCTATCGAGTAGCTGATTGTACAATCACGCGTAATATATGAATTCGCTGAAAAATAAGTGAAAGCTTTCTAGAATTTAGATAAATAAATTTAAAAGTTATATTTTTTTATAACGAGTAGTCCACCAATCTAGATCTATTACTGTTTGCATATTGGTATTGCGATTCGACGAACGAACTTGTACAGATTTTTGTTATGCATAAGTAACCTCACATTAACTGATACCAAGCCTAGGGAAAAGAAATATTGAAACTGTTGAAACGAGTACATTTCTTCATTTGTATCTATTACTTAAATAAAGAGAAAATGGTATTTTTAACTGCGCAGTTATTCACAAAATGTCGAGGTCCAGATGAATTTTGGCGAAAACGACAAATATTTAAACTCGCTGCCGTAAGTCATTTTATTCTGAACAATTGAAATATTTAAAGAACACCTTAAGAGTATTTCAAGAGTATTTCAAAAGAATATTTCAATTTTCAGCATTACGTCGGCAGGAGAAGAAATTGTTATAGCATAACCATAAGAAATGTGCACAGAGCATTATTAAAATCTACTGCAGGGAGGGAACTTAAAAAACATGATATGAAAGAGGTAAAAAATATTATTGTATTTATTTGTTAAAATATCACATGGTTGATTAAAAAATTGTTTGTAGCTTTGGGAGACTAGAATAGATGCTGCTGCTCAGGAACATGGTAGTAATTTAAATATATTGAGGGAAGGATTGACTAGGTGTAATATTTTACTTAATCGCAAGTCTATGGCAAATTTAGCTGTATGGGAACCAAGGACATTTAAATGTTTATCTGACATTGCCTGTGCAAAAGTAAAGCTGGCAGGAGATCGTTCCGTAACTTACAAGCCTATGCCTGCAAGCATTCTATCTTCAGGATTGATTGACAAATAAAAAATAATCTTTCATTGTAACATTTATTATGCTATAGATGATTAAATATTTACAAGAAATATATATTCTTAAAAAGAAGAACAGAACAAAATATCATTGATTTTAGTATAATATTTCACTGCAATATTCATGACATTGATATTTCTATATTCAACAAGAAAGTAAACTTTTTTTTATATCTCATAAAATATACAGTTTTAACTTGCATTTATAATTATTGAACAATACTTTTCTGTAATAAGGAATATCAATCTTATTGTTTAGCATTAACAATTTGTACAAAGTCAGGTTTCAAGGATGCTCCTCCAACTAAAAATCCATCAATGTCTTTCTCTTTTGCTAAATCTTTTGCATTTTCTGCTGTTACCGATCCTCCATAAATAATCCTAACATTTTCAGCGACTGCAGGATTTATGTTAGTAGAAAACCATTGCCTTAGTTTATCGTGTACTTCCTGAGCTTGTTGAGGAGTCGCAGTTTTACCAGTTCCAATGGCCCACACTGGTTCATAGGCCACAACTACGTTATCCCAAGATTTGATTTTATCCGCAATAGCTTTAGTTTGCCTGAAGACTACTTCCTCCGTTTTTCCAGCTTCACGTTCTTCTAATTTTTCTCCAATACATGCGATTACCTATGTATCAAGATCACTTTCATTAGTTTCTTTGATTACATTTGACTGAAACTTTATTAAAAAATAATTATTTATACAGAAAAATTTTGTTCACCTTCAAGCCAGCTTCTAAGGCATGAGCCACTTTGTCTGCAATTAATTCATCTGTTTCACCAAAGACATTTCTGCGTTCTGAATGACCAAGAATTACCCAAGGAATTCCATTATCTAATAACATAGCAGGACTGATTTCTCCGGTAAATGCTCCTTTTGCTACCTTGTATGTATTTTGGCCACTGATGTTAACATTAGCAGGTAATATACTTTTTGCATATGTTAAGTATATCGACGGTACTCCAACAACAACCTCTGTTCAAATAATATTGTCGACAATATTATTATAAAATCTTAGTTGCTTAATGCTTCCAAATATGTAATGTACCAATATTTGATTATATGTTAGAATTATAAAAAACTATGTAATCCTTTTTAATACCATAAGAGACATTTGAAAGTTAAATTATACGGATTGTTATAACGGAGTGGAAAAAACATACCAACATTTGGATCGAGCGGCCCAGTTTTTAAAAAAGCGACGATATTGTCTATTTCACTTTTGGTACCATTCATTTTCCAATTACCACCGACAAAAAATTTGCGACCCATGGCTGTATTATGTATTAATCCACGCACACTATCGATCAAAAGAAAATTACAATCTTTCACAGAGCCTGGAAGAAATTTGAAAAATACTTTACTGACCTTCAAGAGAACGGAAGGTGAATATGCTCACGTTTCCCCAACCTCTTTTCGCCAAACCCCACTATTTTCGATTACCCCCCACCATCGACCGGTTCTACTGTTCTACTCGCAGAATTATTTAAAACGTAAATCTTTTGTAAAGTATATTTCCCTCTGTAGTTTGTTTAAGTAAATTTGTTCATTATTTTACAGTTGTATGTAAATTTTCAAAACATTTTTAAAAGTTGAAACATATTTAGTTTTCATTTGTCCCAGCCTTAAAATGTATTCTGAATGTAATATACAATTTCGATTGGAACCATGATAAATGTTACTATCTTAACAAGTAAAATCGATAACAGGCATGAACATTTTTAAAAATATAATAATGAGAATACAGTAGAGATACGAGTAGATGATATGACTATCACTTTTAATTGGAATCGTATTTTTGTGTATTTTACTTAAAAAATGCGTAACACGGAAGAGGATAAAAATCTTTTCAATTGTATTACTAAAAATCTTTATGTTTATCGGTTCAGTTTACTTATAAGAGCATAACAGTCATCGATGACTTTTGTTCAGATTTATCACAGATAAGTAACGATTCTATTTGGTGCAAAATGAACCAATGGAAGGTTCGTCATGTGACAAAAAATGACGCCATTGTTCTGACTTGTTTATTCTGAATTTGAACAATCAATGACGAAAGATTGACACTTATTGAATTAACGTTCATTTCGAAGTAAGATTTTGATTTATTGACGGTAAGTGACAATAAAAGTGATACTTACACTTTACAATGTTATTTTATCTTAAAATACCATAGTGTAAAAAACTATGTATACGTAAAAATTACCACATTGTAAACAGTGTTTTAACTTGAATGAATTAACTATTAAGAATGTTGTGAAAAAACTATTGTTTCAGAGGTTATAAGATAATTCGTTAATATGCCTAATGTTTTTTTTATAAATAGTTTGTTTCTTGATTGCGTATAAACAAAATATATAATTTACCTACAATATTTAAGAAATTCCTTATTCATGGGAGTCATATGAAATATCTTGACAAGATTGTGTTTAGAAAAATTAATAGTTATTCTTTTAATTGCAATCTTTATACTATATAACATTATGAAGTTGTATGAGAAATCTTTGGATTTTCCTTCATGATGATAAGTTGTCAATTATTTCATAACAAAGTTAATATTTCTGATGTTTTTCTATATTAATGCTTTAAAACGTTTACATATAATAATATCCATTATAATTACAATATTGTAATGCAGTGATTCGAAATATGTTTCAACTATCTGTTTTAGACGTGGACAAATTTATACATACATTTGTTCAAAATTTAGGTTTAAGAATTGAATCTCCTGTTTGTAAAAATCACACAAAAATTACATTTATAAAGTATGTCAACAGAGCTTGTAAAATTAAACATCGGTTACTATGCACTATAGAGAAAATGAGAGAAATTAATGTACAAGAAAATTTAGATTTGTCTAATGAAAGAAATGTACAATGTTTTATAGAAAAACATATAAACTTTTTTGATAAACCGACTTCTTTAAATAACAGACAGATATTAACTTCACACTTAAAACATATAAATACAAAAATACTTCAAAAAGTTGAGACAAAAAGAAGAAATATCGAAAATATAAAAAGAGTGGAAGTTAAAGTATTAAATAACAATGTATCTTATAAAAAGAAAGTAAAAACTAATTTAAGAAATAAGTTTTGTGGATTAAAGAAGAATCTGTCCCCTACATTAAGCAGGGAAAAGCATGTTAATCTACAAATATGTAAAAGAAGAAAATGTAAGAGTACAGCTATAACTGAAAATTCTGATATATTCTTTTATGATACAACTAAGCTGAAAAGTTGCAATAGTATTATCGATTCAAATGCAAAGTTGTATAATCAGAAAGATTCGATTAATCACAGTTTGACGAAAAGTGTAATAGACATAGCTAAAAAGGAAATAGAAATGGCAGAGAAAATTTTATGGTTTCATACAAAAGATGTAGAGTTTATTAAGAAGAAATTACATGTTTTCTTATATATTGCAAAGGTTATATGATTCTATAAATTGTGTTCACATCAGACGTATAAAATACTTTTTAATTGTTGCTTCATTTACTTTAACATTTATTATATAGAATGAAAATTACGTTGGTAATATGAACAATCGGATGAAATACAATCAACTTCTTTGTCATCATTCAATTTTATGTTTGATTGAACCAAGCAAAAAAGCTTTTGTCTCAATTGAAGATGATTTAATGATTGTTATTAAAAAACATCTATCGCAAGGATATAAATATCAATTTGAATTTCAGAGGTATTTAAATCTAATAGAAAGCACATGTGCATTTAGCAATGCTAACATTGAAGTTATTAATTTTAATATATATTTCTAACAGAGGTTCACAAAATTGTTTCACTGCTTTACTTGTCTTAAGTCAGTGGGCCAGCATTTTGGTACAACATTTGAATACAACAATGATACAGACAATTTGTGGTATATTGAGATGCGATGTACACGAAATATTAGTTTTGCATAGTCCATAAGAAAAATGATCATAAACATCTTAATTGAAATGTAATGTCACTGCTTAATAAAGAAATATCATCACAGTATTTTTATATTATAGAAGATTGAATGTTTACATCTGAAACCACAATTTATCATACAATGTTAAATAATTTTAAATTATAGGGGTTCAATTAATCTTAATAAATCTGTCTACTAGAATTAACATCTATTCTTATGTCTTCTTCATATTAATTATGTGTCTTAAGAAACGTATATAATTGGACAGATGAAATAAAAAAAAATGGTAAGCGAGGAAGCAGTGGAATTTAACAAGAAGTCACAGCCAATCTTCAAGAATCCAATTTTTCAGCAAAAATTCCGGCCAACAAGTACCACTGGAAAGAAAAGAACTTGGCGTTCTTTAAAACAGGTCTTGGCTCAGGAACGTGCTTTACCATGGCCCATGGAAGTAGTACACTGTACGAATTGTTTCTAAATAATTCAGTAATTAATGTATACAGCAAATTCATACTATTCGAACAACTGAAGAGTTAAAAGAAATGTAGAAAGTTATATGTATATATATATATATATATATATATATATATATACTATACTATAATTAGTCTATGTTAGTAATTGAAATTGGTAGAGAGAATACACACGTTGTACTTAAATCCTGAGTAAAAGTGTTATGGTTAATCGATACAAATTCCAGATAGTTCTATCAATGCACCGCCAAGCTTTAGACCAGCAAAAAAATATTCCGATATTTCTGGGTTACCGGTAAGTATTAATCTTTCTCGGTTATAAAATGAATGCGATTAGAAAGTTAAGGTACAAATTAGAATTACTTCACAGGCACGATATACAGATCCACAAACGAAGCTTTATTATGCAACTGCTGAAGAATTCGCAACGGTCCGAAGTTTACCGATGGATATAACTGCTGGGTATCTAGCATTACGCGGCGCTTCTAGCATTGTCGGTTAAATGAATTTGTTACAATTATTTTAAATGAATAGACACAATGTACAATTCTGCAAATTCTTTATGTGTACAGTAAATATAAACAAAAACATGCTTAGTTCATAAAGTCAAACTGAAGTTTGAAACTTTGGTCTTTGCTCCAATTGTTCATAATCAA